ACGAAATAAATCTCACATACCTTAATAGAAATCACCCCCGACGAATTCCACTCCAAACGCTTGACGTTCTTGGCGAAATCTTTGCTTTTCTCCCTTTCTTTCTTCTTTTCTCTTTTCTCCAAGCCCTAAGCGTATTCTAATTTTCCAAAACTGAATAAAGTCTGGTTTTACCCCAATTAATCTCGTAAAAACGAATTAGAGTAATTAGGTAAGGAAAAGACTGAATCGCCCTTCTAAAATCTGGATTAGACAAATTCCGTATTCCAACAGCCCAACTTTCGAAAGGCATATCTCACTCATATGATGTCGAAATCGTGCAAACTTGTCAGCGTTGGAAAGATATCTCCAAGGGATTTCCAACCATATCAAGAGCTGCTCCTAACTCATCCTGAGATAGGAGTTATGGTTGTTTGAAAATGGACAAAACTCATTTTCTTAACCTAGACAAAATTTCCAGATTTCCTTATTCCTTCCAAAAATCAATGTTTTCATATTTTAAACTCTTTATAGTCGTTTCTAGGTGCGAGATGTTACAAGTTCTTTTAATCATAATTGTTCATATGTCCTCTGTTAATCGTAAGTAGAGCTATCAATATGAGCTGACCCACCCCATCCGGGCTAACTCATACATGCTTTGAAATTTGATGGGCCAGGCAGGGCTAGCCCATTTTTGTGTGGGCCAGAAAATGGTTGGCCCAGTCCACAAGTACGTGGGCTACGGAATTTGTCGGGCTAGCCCTCTTTTCTTAAAAGTATATTTTTTTTATAATTTTTTAAATTAAATTATAATTTAAAAATATTATCATAAATATCGACAAGACAATATTACATGGTGTTAGTGTTACTACTTGTTAATACACAAATAAAATTATCTTTATAATATTTATTAAGTTTGATTTCAAGTAAAAACATAAATAGCTAAATAGAAATATTAACCTAATTATTTTCCAATGATCATAATAAAACACAAAAACTATGATAATATTCCATAGGCTATGGCCTATGTAGTGATTCCCTATAAATTTTAGGAAATTTTTTTATGTAGTACATATTTTATAAACATAATTTGTTTTTAAATTGTAATATTTCAGATTTTAAATCGATTTTGAGTTGAGACTCTTGTTATTTTTAATACTCTATTTTATTTTTATTTTTAAATTAATTTTTATTTGGCCCACGAGTCGGCCCTATCCATATTTCTCAAGCCCCACAAATCGGCAACTTATTCAAGCTGGGCTAAAAAATCCTTTTCTTAAATGGGCTCCAAAAATCGTAGCCTAGCCCTACCAAATCACGGGTTAGGCCAGGCTGACCCAACGGGCCTAGCCATATTGACAGCTCTAGTCGTAAGGGTACATTTAGCCCAAAAATACAACATGAAGGATATAGTTAGCACGAAAATATAACCAAGGATATATTTAAACTATTCTATAGTATAGGAATATATTTGACCCTTTACCGATGAAGAAATTATAGACTCCTCTCACAAATTGAGAAAAATTATTAGAATTGAGAATATTTTTTTAGGAATCTTTCAATGATCATAGTTTAGCAAAGAAGTTGACTACCATGTTGGCTTCTTGATAACAGTGAGTGATTTTGACATTGAGAATATTCACCTAGTTTTAACTGCTTTTGCCCGGCAAAACAACTTCCATGAAGTTTGGAACTTTTAATTAATGATGACAAAAATGTCTTAGAATTTAAAAGGAGTGACAAGAGTATTCAAAATTGGGTGTTGGTGACAATTTTATGGTTAGTAATTAATGAGCTTTGACCCTTTTCCAAGTTTTTTTTTACACTTTGACCCAATATTATAAAATCCTGATAAACTTTCCTAAAGTTCGTTGGTGTAGCATTGTGCATTGGTTGAGGGGTGATTTTTAACCATTTTAGTAAGTGAATATTGTTGTTTTGTGTGTCTTACTCATCTGAATTCTTTTCTACTGTTCAGATCATTGTTGTATTCATTTTAGTAACTGCCACATATGTTTCAACAACTACTTCATCAGCTAAATATTGTTATTTTGTGTGTATTGCTCATTTGAATTTTTCAACTGTTTCGTTCACTGATGTATTCGTTTCAGCAACTGTTGCATTTATTTTAGCAATTGCTTCATCAGCAGCTGAAACAAATGTAGCAGGTGATGATACAAATACAATTATTGTGTATGTTACATAAATTATTGTATTTATTTTAGTATTTACTACACTAATTGGTTATTTATATTTTATCAATTGCTAAAATATATTAAGCAAATGTTGTTGTAGGTGCTACAACAATTGATGCGCATTTACTGAATATGTTTCAGCAATTGCTGCATCAATTACTAAAACAGATACAATTGCTGAAACATACTCATCAAATGATGTAGATGTTTCAGCTTCTACATTAATTGATGCAACAATTTCTAGCTAATTGTTGAATAAACTGTAGACAAAATCATAATAAAATTATGATCAATATTATTATTTTTTGCATCATAATATAAATACCTACCTTTAACACAATCAACGAAGGAAAAAATAATAACTAGAGTTGATTGCAATGGTAAATGGGTCAAATCCAACAATCGTTATATTTTAAAAAATAAAATAAAATATTGAAACTGTAAATCGAGATGTCATCTTTGATAATTTTGCTAACAAAATCATTTCATGTTGTGATGTAAATTGTGAGTTGAAAAATCTTGTCATCACCTACATGCATCATTGCAGTGAAAAGTAAAAGGTAGCTCCTTTTTAAGATAAAAAAAATCAAAGAAGTTTGCATACTTATTTGGAAGATCCAGGTAAAACCATTTTGAGGGTACATGTGCTTGAAACGTTGATCGAGAACCGACAAGATTAACAAATGTTAAATGATGAATATGATTGGGTGAACATAAATATTCCAGAAAAAGAAAGTGTCTGTGAAGATAAAACTCCTTATACTCATGTTTCTATTTTAACTCCTACTCCTCAAGTTGGCTGTAATACATCGGAAACTGGACGAAATAGATTTTTACATTGATATGTCATTTAATTTAATTTAAGAATAAGCAAGAGCTAGATATTCTCTTGAAAATTGCTTGTGTGAAGAAATATTTAAGAATAAAAAAGGTGACAATTTCGTGTGATGTTTATTGTGTCAAATGTGTACATTCTGAATGCAAGTGGTGGCTCAGAGTTGTAAAGGTTGAAAATTCTGATAGATTTTACATGTTTCACATGATTAATTCGTGTGACGTTTATTAATCTTTTTGAATTTAGTTGTCAAGCTTGAAAATTCGATGAACGTCATGACGTGCATGTTTGACAAAAAGATTAATATTATAAATAAAATGTCATAAATTATTAAAATATTTGACAAAAAGATAATCTATCAAGTCTAATTAAAAAATAAATGACTTGCAATGTGAAGTCTCAAGTCAATACTACTAAAACAAATTAAACTAAAAATAAACATAAGTTCTAAATTCAAAACAAAAAAATTAACATTTACTCGTGTCAAATTTCAACAAAACATACATAAATATGATTTTAAAAAACATGAAAACATAAGTCTATAATCTTACTCAACAATGAATTCAACTTTAATTTAAAAATTAGAATACTGGCAAAATTATACTACTGAAATAAATAAACATGTTATAAAAAATAGATAATACAAAAAATTGCATAGAATCACATGAAGTAAAGATTAAGAATGAGAAAGAAATGAAGTATAAATAATATACAATAAAAATTAACTAGAAAATTTTAAAATAAAAAAAATAAAAAATAAAAATAGAAACAAAGTTAAAACGAAAAAATTAAAATTGAAAAAAAAAATTAAAAAGTAATCAGTTTATAATTATATCATGTACTCCCTCCATTCCATTTTATTTGTCATCCCTTTCTATAAATAGCTGGACCACAATACTTGTCATTTTATAAAATTTATGCATAAATTACCATATTTTTGCCTATTATACCCTTGATAGAATAGTTAATTAATCTTGTCATTTATTAATAAAGTTGACTTAAGAAAACATTAAATAAGGGTAGAAGGGTAAAGTTACATTATTTATTAATGCAAGTGCAAAAAAAATATGACATATAAAATGGGACGGAGGGAGTAATTACCAACAATTCACATTCGTTTTTTGGGAATTGGATAGTGTTATTACCCCGACCAATTACACTAAATTTACCTGTTGATCAAATAATTACATCACCAATCAAATAAATCAGACATTATAATTACACCCAATTATATCAAGGAAAAATTACATGGATCAATACTTTTTAATAAATAATTATTGATTTTAGCGATACTTTTTATTTATTATCATTTATAGCAATACATAACAATATTATGTTAAATCTGCAATATGTATTAGAAGTAAATTATGTATGCAATATATATGTATTATAATTGTTTTTTAAAATATATTATGCTTGTTTGGTAAGAAATTGACACATTGTATTATAAGTGTATTAAAATGTGTGATAAATATACTATCCATGAATAAAACTTGTATTATATGTGTTCTATAAATTGTTCCCTGTAATATGTATTAAAAGTGTATTATAAATGTATTAAAAATGATCAAGTGAAAAAAATGTTATTGCTATAAATGGTATATATTTTTTATTTATAGTATATTTATATAAGTTTCCCTTATTTAAAACCCTATACCTTTTGGCCCATTATTTATTAAAATAAGTTAGGGATTTATCACTTTTTAATAGTTAATTATTTCTAGAAAAGAAAGAATAAGGGAACAGAAACTCACCAGCGGAGACGTGGGAGCCGACTCGATCAGATTGCAGGTCTGAGTTGAAGCAAGTTTTTTTAAAAGTAGTCACAAGCATTAATTGCTAAGTTACAAAAGGTACAAATAGTATTATATTAGTTGAAGTCTTTAGGTTATATCAAATTATTACGAGGATGACTTTCCAAACGGCCCTAAATTTCAATGGGTTAGATTTTGGCAAAGAATTAATGAAAGGGTTCAAAATACAAACTTACTTAGAATCCCAATATTGGCTATTTGTGTACTTGCCCCAATTCCTCTTTGTCCATAACGTATTCGGGTCATAAAGCTACCGTGTTCGGACCCTTAACGCCTAAACGGTCCCGGCGTTCCTCTACCTGCCGGGAAACTATCAGCACGGAGTGCAACTCAGTAGGTTTCTCTCAATTTTGTTTATCCCGTGCACCGTAGGTATAATTTCTCTACCGGAAAACTCGTTGTCAATTTCTTTCTTTCTTCAATACCCAGTTGCTGCTTAATTCTCTTTTGGGTTCTTTCTTTGTGTCTTTGATTGTACTATGTACTTGAAAGAAGGATGTTCATTGCTGTTGAAAGTCCACAAAAAGTCTCTTCCTTTAATCCTCAACAATGTAAACCCAAGTTTCAATGTTGATCAACTTAATGGTGGTAAAAACCCCGTTGAGCTCAAGGAATCTGATGTATTAAAGAGACTGAAATATGAAGAAAATATTTCAAATGCTATAGAGTATTTCAAATGGGTTGCTAATTCAACATTTTTCAAGCACACCCCTTTAACATATAAAATAATGATGGAAAAACTTGGGCAGCAGCAGGAGATGGATACTGTTCAATACCTCTTGCAACAGATGAAATTAGAATGTATTAGTTGTTCCGAAGATATATTTATCAGTGTGATTGATTCTTATAGGAGAGGTAACATGGCAGAGCAAGCATTGAAGACATTCTACAGGATACAGGATTTTGGGTGTAAGCCTACAGTTAGGATATATAATCATCTCTTGGATGCTTTGCTTAGTGAAAATAGGTTTCACATGATTAATCCTATTTATAGTAACATGAAGAAAGATGGGGTTGTTCCCAATGTGTATACTTATAACATTCTTTTGAAAGCATTGTGCAAGAATAATAGGGTAGATGGAGCTATGAAGTTACTTGTGGAAATGTCGAACAAGGGGTGTTCTCCTGATGAAGTGAGCTATACAACAATTGTGTCTTCCTTGTGTAAGTTTGGTAAAGTAAAAGAAGCCAGAGAAGTAGCCATGAGATTCACTCCTACTGTTCCTGTTTATAATGCTCTGATAAATGGGCTTTGTAAGGTATATAATACTAAGGAGGCAGTTGATTTGTTGGATGAGATGGCTTGCAAGGGAGTTGATCCTAATGTTATTACGTACACTACGATATTAAATGCATTTGCTGACCAAGGAAATATTGGTCTTTCTTTTGCTATGCTGAGCAAGATGTTTGTTAGTGGCTGTTCTCCAAATATTCATTCGTTTACTTGTTTGATTAAGGGAAATTCATTATTGGGACAATGGTATGAAGCTCTTCATGTGTGGGATGGTATGATCAAAGAGGGAATTTTGCCCAATGTTGTAGCATATAATGCACTTCTCCATGGTCTGTGTTTGGCTGGTAATATGAATATGGCTCTGTCTGTTTATAGTGCAATGGAAACAAGTGGCTGCCTTCCAAATTCTACAACCTACAGCACCCTCATTGATGGATTTGCTAAATCTGGAGATGTAATTAAAGCATCTGAGATATGGAATAGGATGATAAATCATGGTTGCCGTCCAAATGTTGTTGTATATACATGTATGGTTGATGTACTCTGCAGGAATTTCATGTTTGAACAAGCTTACAGCCTTCTAGATGACATGGTAATAGAAAATTGCCCACCAAATACCATTACTTTTAACACATTTATCAAAGGTTTGTGTTGTAGTGTTAGAATTGAATGGGCAGTGATGCTATATAATCAAATGGAAAGATTTGGTTGCTCAGGTAATACTACCACATATAATGAGTTGTTGGATGGCTTATTCAAATGTAACAACCTTACGGTAGCACTTCAGCTTGTTAGGGAGATGGAGAAAAAGAACATTGAATTTAATTTAGTCACATACAACACTATAGCATCTGGTCTCTGCCATATGGAGATGCTTGAGGAAGCTGTAAAACTTGTGGCAAAAATGCTGGTTAGGGGAATTAGACCTGATGTTCTCACCTTCAACATACTTATGAACGCGTACTGTAAGGGTGGTAAGGTTGAATCTGCAAAACAACTTCTGAATGCTATGAGTCAAGTCGGCTTGCGTCCAGGTTTCATATCCTATACCTGTCTAATAGATGGACTGTGCAGTTGGGTTGGTTTGGAAGCTGCAATCTGTTGCCTCCAGAAGATGATAAATGATGGCATTCCACCCATGATATCGACATGGAATGTTCTAGTCCGTCATTTGTTTAGCAAGATTGGCTATGGAAGTGCACTAGAATATCTAAATAGTATATTGGCAGCAGACTGAAGGTGTGAACTTGCTTCAGCAGATTGGAATGATGAATACGCGTAAAAACCTTCATTGTGGATATAAACGCAGTAGTTGCAGTGAAAGCAATTTTACGATGGAGGGGTCCTTCTCCAGACCTGCATTGACGAAGTGGCATTAACAACTTGTTTAGGGATATATGGCTAGTAAGAATCCCTCAAAAAAAGTTGTTTAACATCCTCTAATCATAATATTTTTGTATGTTTATTTACTAGATCTTGCAGGTATTAAATTGCTAATTTTTGCTAGGATATTATAAGCTTAAGCTTGTGAGTACAACCAAAAGGCAGAATGGGTATTTTAAACTAGTGTCTAGTGTCTACTCTGAAAAATTAGACAGCTCTAGTTGCAGCAGTAATGATTTATAAGGTCATTATGCTCTGCAGGTACCTTTTACTAAAAAGGCTGTGTTTCAAGTGTTGCAGTTATTTTCTTGTTCTTCTTACTTGCTTAATGGTATCAGTCTTTTATTGAATTGAACTAAAACCTTTCTATGATCACCGCTGTTTTAATTCTGAAGATTGTTAGATGGAGCCTGGCTGCATTCCTGTTATTGCATTTTATTATTTTGACACTGATTGTAAAATTGCTTATTTCCAGTCTCTATAGTTTGGAAGAAGTTTCATGAGAAACCCCTATCAAGGGTATCTCTTTGGGGTGTCCAAGGATTGACACAGGTCAGAACCGGGAACCAGACATATGAAATGGCAGCCATATTTTTGTAGAACTCCACTGATCTTTTTGGCATGAATCTTTGCAAGAGGCATTATGCATAGAGCGAGAAAGGGTAATTTGCTGTAAACAAAGCTGGGTTTTGCTAGGAGAACAAAACAAGTCAGCGATTGAAAATCTCAGATACAAATTAATCATAGGTGTTGGCTTATTCGGAAACACTATTTTTTTTTTCTTTTGGCTCCTTTTCCAGTTCTATCATGGGATATGTACCTTGAATTTCTGTTCTTGATTGACTAAAGAGAACGGGTGTAGTAAGTCTTTTTTTCTTTATTTCTGTTACAAGCTTTCTACCTGGTTTGTGTTTCACCTTTACGCATGGATTGTTTTTTTTTTTCTGGCATTGTTCTGTTACTGACCAGCTATTTTCAACTTTGCTGTTATCAAATGGTCTACTTAGGATCTTTTGCATTGTTAGTACATACAGGACCTGATACAAACTACAAATTGGGCTACACGATTCCAGCTTGTATCTCGTGGTTGATAAATGATCTGAACAGGAGCGAAAATCAGTCCAGAGGATTAAATTAGATTGTATCACGTTACTTCGTTTTAACTGTATATGCAAATGAGGCAGAAACTTCACACTAGATTTCATCGATTTGAAGTGGGCTATATTTTAGGCCTCTTTGCTCACCTGTACAGGAACTCAAATACTACCTTTGTGCTGTTTTTGGATACAGTTATTACCAGTTTAAACAACAAAAAAGTACTACTAATTTTCCCTGCAGACGGAGTAAATTTCTGTGCGACATTGATCTATATTCACAATGGAGGGCCCGTGGCATTGCCAGTTATTAAACTAGCGTCTGCAGTCCCTTTCTGAGGCAAAACATGTTCATATCTACCATAAGTACCATTAAAAAAGGATTTCGAAGAGGGTCACAACGAAGAAAATACAAAACCACCTATACAGAATAAAACACAACCATATTGAGAACCTACAATGCTACAAATAGAACACAACTATACGCCAATACGTGCAATTTTCGTATGATATGTTTGAACCACAGATTCGCGTAGAACATTGAGCCACCATGTGAACATGTTATATAAGTTTGATCATCAAAGCTCCCTTGAGATGGACAGGTTAATAAAAGAGCGAGAGGGAAGGGGCAGACTCGTACAAATCAAGAACCAACATCAGGAAACTATTATCTAATAGTAAAATTATAAGTAATCAAAATTCCAAGATAGTGAACAAAATAAATTCAACTAGTTTTCACACACTCACTTTCCTTTTTCCTGTCTTGTGTGTATCAATTTGTTGACGGTTTCTACTGTTCCTATCATCTATATCGTCGTCAGCATCCACAAGAATAACACCATCAGTATCATCATCATTCATTTCCATATCTATTTCATCCTTACCCTCCAAATCGTCTTCATCATAATCATCATAATCATCCATATCCTCTTCATTTTCATCATCTGTACCAGCACCCGTGGTATGGAACTCTGGAGGTGGAGGACAATCCTCTGTTTCTGCCTTGTCCCGCTTCATCACAAGATGTCGAATGACTCTCTCATCTTTGTCAAGCATGCTCTTGAAATCATTAATCCATTTGGCTTCCAACTCAAAATTCATCAAAATGTAATGAGCTCGTGATGTTTTCTGAATCCTATATGCCAGTCTACGCATACCCCAATCACTGAATCTCCACAACCTCCCTTTCTTCTCTTTCAAAAATTCTGCATTTACAAATAAAATTCACAAATTTCAGGGTTATTTTAGCCACCATGAAGAAACAGAAATGTAAATCACAGGGAGAAACTGCTGCTGGTTGGGAAACAAAAGCGCCATCATTTGGAGAATTAATGGGGAACAAGGGAGCAGAGCTGTGGTTGCTACATCCTATCTTGCTCGGACTCCTCAAAAATCTCGACGGGTGCATGTCAGATACTCCAAAAGTAGTGCATTTTGAAGGATCCGACACAGGTTCGGCAAAATTTTTGGAGAGTCCGAGCAGCATAGGCTACATCATCCAGTAGATTGGAACCACTTCTGAGATACTAGATTTTGACATGATTTCCACCATTCTCAGCTCTTTCGAAAAGGGCATGAGGTGTTATATAACAACAAACCCAGTGTTCCCACAAGTGGGGAGCTTAAAAAAAAGACTTGGTAAACTCATTTGACAGCACACAGCAAAAACCGGACCTTAGTAGAACAAATAGATGTTTGATATATGAAAAGGGAAAGCTAACCTTGAACTTTTGCATTCACACTCTCAACCTCATCTTCACGATCCTCATGAATCAGATACACCACTTCATAGTGTCGCACTGTACACAGCAGGGAAGTCAAAAAATAGTATAAACTATTAATCGAAACGAAAACAACAAGATCCATAACAATACTATTCTTCCTGCACTTTCAATTCCATTCAGTGAGTTAATCATCCCATATAAGCAATATTAGCAAGAATTAATGAGACAAGGCATGCTACTTTAGTCAGAAACAATCTTAGCTCACGGATTGACACAAAGTTTTAGGAAAGTTCAACAAAACACAATCCAAAGCTCTCCTTCGGCTTGCATTGCTAAGCCACACAGATGCTATTGTGCAGATGACATGTTGCACAAAATCCGAAATACTAATTCACAACACATTTTTTATCCACTAGGCAATTTATGAGAATTCCAACATAGCTATATCAATCAACTAATCAACTACTTTTTTTTTCTTTGGATGATCGTGGTGTACGGGCTAGCTTTCGCACACCTCGACTGATTCCACGAGAGAACTGCCACCTCCCACAAGCAATAGATACCAGGTAGACCTCATGGCTCTCAACCTCTTCATTGACTATTAGGCCACAACCTTGGGTGCTCAACAACTTGGGAATAGTGATATGAGTCCTCTATGTTTGGGTCCGTTTCATACAGATACTGGTCTTTAAAACTAGAAGCTTCTCCATATCACACACTTATCTCTACCAAAACATAATGTAAGTGTAACCATAACAACTTAACATTATTACAACTATTTTAGTATCTCCTATCATTATGATCCCTTTGATTCCACCATCCATTTCGGAAAAAGAAATATGCACAAACCAAAGAAGACAACATATCCAGATACTATGTATAAAGTTAAGCGCTTTTCTATTTAAGATATGAAGCTCATAGAATGATCCATACTTACTCTGTTCAACATTCAGATCACTTTCCAACTGTAGATTTAGAGCCTCAAACAGTTCCTCTGCAAATTAGACTCAAAAAGTTTAGTGACCTCAACCTCTAAAGAACCCACTGAAAGTAAGACAGCATTGCGCAGATAAGGGCTTACCCTCTTCAGCATCTGCAAAGTCGGGTACAAGTCTACCGTCTTCTTGGACCTTCCTCTGCAGAATTTAAACAGCGACTTGTCAAAGTGAAAAGGGTTCAGCTTAAATCAGAACTCACACACAAAATCAAAAGAAAATTGGACTTATCCAATGCTCTTAAGAATGAAGAGGCTCAGAGATTGTTCAGAATTGGGGACAAAACAAACCAAAATTACATATGGGTGTAAACAAAAATTACCTCTCTAAGGAGCACAGCTTCGGGAAAAGGACCAGTGGCTTCATCAGGTTTAGGAATAAAGCTGTGGGAGTCAGATTTCTTCTTCTTCTTGTTTGATGCTGAAACAATAACAGAGGGGGTTCGGTTGTTCTTGTGGGGAAAATATAGGAAGAAAGAAGAGTGGCCATTTTCTGAAACGGAAGGATAACATTTACAAGGAGAAGAGGAGCTGAGCAACTTTACGATATCAGGTGAAGAGGTAAGAAGAAGGGACTCCATTTTTGGTGCAGAGGGGATAGGATTTTGATTTTTGAGCAAAACTCTTACACCAGGGTTTTACTTGCCCATTGGCCATTTATATCTATTTCACATTTCTAAATTCACTTTTTTTGTATTAAATCATTTTTTCTTAATTTTTCTTCTTGGAGATTTTGAAAATGAGTAGGACTTAAAAGAAACTATCTAGTAAAATTATTTATCTTTTTAAATTTATTTTTGATATGTCATTTAAGTTTATGCATTTCTTTTATAAAACAATAATTACTACACGTTACTTAAAAGGTGAGAGAAAAAATACGTAACAATAAAATCCTTTATCTAAGTGAGTTATGCAAGTATTAAATTTTAGGAAAAATCCTTTTGGCCATAAAAATTTGGCCATAATTTGGCCAGAATGAAAAAAAGACATGTTCACACTATAAACTAGTTTATTTTTGGACATTTTTACCCTTTAACTTAAATATTAAATATATTCTTCAATTATGTTTCCAATACATTGAAAATGATTAATGAGATTAATTATTGATGATTTCATAGTTAAACATGGGAAAGGAACCAAAAAATTCACCAAAGAAAACATAACTCTCATCCACTCTTCTCACTTGAAATTTTCAAGATCTAAAAAAATAAA